TGTTGCCTAGGATGCATTTTTTCTTGTAGTTTTTTATTGCCTTAAGAACATTAGAAGGGAGTTCTTGTAGTTCTTTTAAGGTTTGGCTGGGATATATAGTTTTTACCATCCCATATTCAAACGCTTCAATAACCATTTTTGGGTTTGGCTTTTTTTATGAAATTAAAGAAGCTTAAGTCCTTTCCATTTGTTGTGAAGTATTTATCTGTCAAGATTTCTGCTTCACCACTGTTTCAGGCAAATTGATCCAATAGTCCAAGCCTTCTTTGGAAAGTTGGGTCTGATTGGTCTGTTCATCTTTTGGGCTTCCTGATTGGGCTTCTTGGGAATTTTTCCAAGAGTTTGGAGCCTTTCCTGTTTTCTGGGCCTTTTTAGGGCCGCAGTGAATGTATTGGGCTTAAGTCCATCTGCTGTGCAAATTAGCTCAAGGGGAGCTATTGCATTTATTCTTGAGTATTTGATCCGCTGCAATACGAGCCTCAAAGAAACTTTTGTACTTCTTGTGTGAAACACCAGAAATACAACTTGTAGCCTTTTTGGTAATCTCCCAGTCTTGATAGATACCTGCATTTGGTTCATTAAACACGACATAATATGTTATATCTTTCTTATTTGGGATTTGAATTCCCTTATCACTGTCAAGTGATTTTATCTGTTTAGGAACAGAGGTTCCACCGTTCGGTCTGAGGTTTAAACCATCAGAATTATCCGACGTTGTTGGTAATTTAATACCTATTGCCGCTTTTAGCAAGTTACCAGCTATTAACGAATTTGATGAGTCTTTACCAGTAGCTGTTTGCTCTGGAGCAGTTTCATCTTTAAGATCTATAAGATCTGGAGGAAATGAAATTTTCTCTTTTTGTTCACAAGCTAGGCTTGCTACATTACTCGTTGGTTCCATTGTTGGAATAGAGACAGTAGAATCTCTTTCTTGTTCAGCTTTAATCAAGCTTACATACTTGATTTTGGCGCGAACCAAATCAAGCTCTTGGACTAGAAGTCCTTCTTGCAACCGAAGCTGCTCTAATTCATCCATTTCAGATGATGCTTTATCAAGCACAAATAGTGCCTGGGAAGCAACTCCCTATTGTCACCGCCTGTGACTTGTTATATGCTCCGTTGAGCCTTAATCCTGTAAACATTTTATCAAAAATCGTTAAATTCCCGTGATAAAAGGTCTGCGACGGCATTCTTGTTTCCTGCAATATGCTGAACATAAAATTCATATTGGTTAAGCCACATTTGTCATCTAACAAGTCTACCTTGTTTACTATCACCTTTCATCTTGGTTTTTAAGAAATAAGTGAATTTTTTATTATCTGTCCTAACAATAAATTTATAAGGAGTAAGATAAATTGTGAATTTTTTAATGGTTTTTATTACCGCAAGATATTCCTTTTCATTTGAGTGATAATTCTTTTCAGCAGAATTAAAACTTCCTGAAGCATACCGACAGATATACTCTTTATCTTTAGATAGTGCTTTTAAAACACCACACCAGTATGCATTTGATGCATCTGTTTCAATGATCAACTGATCATTTGTTTTTGGAAGATATAATAAAGGAAAATTGGTTAAATTTTTCTTTATTTTCTTCATGTAATTAGTATCGGTTTCTGACCAACATCATTTTTTATCTTCCTTTAACTTAGCTTGTAAAGGAGCTTTTATACTAGCCAATTTAGGAATATAATCTGAAGCATAAGTTAATACACCTAAAAAGCGCATTAAATGTTTCTTATCTTCAAGTTTATCTGGAAACTTATGAATATGTTCCAAAATATGATTTTTAGGTTTATGAAAACCTTCTTCAATTATTAATCCTAAAAATTCAATTTTAGTTTTAAACAATTGAGTTTTCTTTTCAGACGGGATTATTCCTAATCTATCACATTCTTTCAAAACCACTGTAACATGAATATAGTGCTCTTGTTCTGTATGACTGATGATGAGAATGTCATCAACATATACACAACAAAATTTCCCAAAATTTCTAAATTCATTATTCATATGCCTTTGAAAAATTGATGGGGCTTGTTTCAAACCAAAAGGTACTACCACAAATTGGTAATGTCCTAGTGGGCATGTAAAAGCTGTTAGTAATTGGGATTCCTTATCTAAAAGAACTTGTCAAAAACATGATTTACAATCAAAAGATGTAAATATTGCTTTTCCTTTTAATAAAGATAAAAGTTCATCTTTATTAGGTAAATTATGACCATCGCCAATTGTTTTCTTGTTTACCTCTCGGTAATCAATAACAATTCTTCGTTTTGAAGTTCCTTTTTTATCTACCAAAAATGTTGGTGATCTATGAGGAGACTTACTTGGAATGATGACTTTCATGTCAAGCATTTATTGAACTTGTTGATTTAGTTCTTCCCTGTCTTTGGGTGTATAGCTCATTGCTTTCACCACAATTTCAGTTTTGGGATCTATCAATTTGATAGAAGCCTTTATGCAATACTTGGTTTTATTAGGAGCAAGTGGATTTTCTGCACAAACTTTTTTCCAAAGTTTTTCAATTGTAGAAAATTTTTGTTGATTAAGAACAAAAATGTTCATATCTTTCCTTAACTCTAATAACCTCTTCCCCCTCTCTTTAAGAAGTGAGATATTATCAGTAGTTATTTGAACTGGTTCTGGTTTTTTTGGATTTAGATATCTTTTTCATAGAATCCAAATATCCTGGATTTCCAACCCTATATGTAGTTCTTAATTTCCCTATATGTACAGTTTGATTATCTTTGGTGAAAATTATCCTATCAGCGTATTGAACAAAGGTTCATATAGTTGACAGAAATTATTTCCTAGAATAAAATCCATTCCAGATTCTTGTTGATAAACAGTTGGAATATGAAATATTTCCCCTGCTATCATTATATTTAAATTTTTACAAACTTTATTTATTGAGATTGAGCTTCCATCAGCAATATTTACTTGCAATGTTCTTCAAGCATTTTCCCAATGTTCTTCTAGGATAATATGTTTTGATGATAAGCAAAGACTTGCTCCAGTATCAACAAAACAATGTATTTCCATTTGTTTATAACCGGCGAATTTCAATTTACCTTTAATGTAGATTGAATTCGGGTTTGTAATACTGATGAGCTTATCCTCACTCTGTATCGCTGTTTTCTGTACTAGATGTTCCTGAAGAGGATTCATCTTCCAATTTTTCCAATATATAGACTTCCTCTATATCTGAATATTCTTCTTCAATTGATTCGAGACCAAATGATTCTGCAATCTGGAGAAATTTTACTTTCTCAGATTTTTTTCTATTAGGGCACTCATTTGCATAGTGCCCTTCTATGCTACAGATCCAACATCTGCAATTCTTTTTCCCTTTCGGGCAAAAAGTTTTCTTAGGTTGAAACTTTTGTTTCTTCCTAAAATATTTACCAGGTTTAAAAGTTCTTCGCTTCTTTCTTTTCTGGTACCTATATTTTCTAGAGAATTTTTTCTTAGATTTTCTTTTGTATGGTCTACAACCATAATCTGTAATTTTTCAGAAATTCTAGAATAACAGTTTCTGTTGAACTTCTTCATTTGTTTTTGCTTTGTAGTAGTATTACAAATTTTTTCAATTCCTTCTCTCACGAGTCTTTTGGCATAACCAAAACTATACTTCATAAGAGTTTCAGTTGTTTCATATTTCTTTGAAGCAACATTTCCTACGATAGGAATTTTTGCTAAATACCTTCTTATGTATTCAGGATGTTCTCCAAAATCTATTTTGAAAAGGTTCTTTTCGAAATCACAATTGAATTCTTCAATATAACAAATATCACAAAGAGTCAGATTATTCAATCTTACCTTTGCTTTGGATTGTTCTAAAAGTTTTTCATTTTCTGCATTTGATACTCGATCAATGCCTAAAAACAAAGTAAATAGACTATTCAGGATGCTTTCAAGCATAACTGCAGGGTCTACATTTTGAGTATCCCATTGAACTCTTTTTATAAAATTTTGTGCATTCCCAAGCATTCTATGCTCAGCAAGTACTAACACAAGTTGTGCTGTATTAAAAGTATTGGGATTAAGATAAATCACAAGACTCATTTTTAGTCCTCATTTATCAATTAATTTCTTAATTGTTTCGGGTTTTTTATAATCTAAATCTAAGATTGAGGTTGTCTGCACTTCTCCAGGAATACCAGGAATACTGACATTGTTGTTAGATGACCTAGATGGTCTAGGAGTTACTGATGGCTTTCTTTCGAATTCATCAGTATTCATATCTTGATCATCTCTTGCTCTAGATGATTCTGGTTTTTCCATTCAAAAATCTTCTTTTAGAAATTTTTCCTCATCAATGAAATTTATTTCTGATTCTGACTGAGTGTCAGTTTCAGTTTCCTCAATTTGATAAAACTGTTCATTTTCATCAAGTTTTAACAATTTTTTCATTTCAGGATTTGATTCCAAATCTGATTTACATTGTTCTTCATTCATTTATAAAAAACGAATTGTATGTTCAAGCTGAATAGCTTGTTTATCATCCAAATCTAAATTAATTAGATTCCAAAGATTTTTCTCAAGTTTTTCTTGAAAATTCATTTTTTCAAAGCATCTTTCGGCCATTTAAAGGCATTAGGATTTCCTGAACTTCCTAGTTCTTCATTTCCTACAAAATCATTAGGATGTGAATATTTAAGAAAAAATATATTTTCTTGACTAAGAGTTATCTCCTGTTTTTCAAAAATCTCGTTTTTACAAGAATATTTAGCAATTTCTTGCTTAATATCATTGATTATTTTAGCTGCTATCGATTCTAAATTTTGTTTAGAATCATTAGGCTGCTGTTGAACAGATTTAAATAAATCATCTATCTATTTTTTCAGGATTTCCCTATCCCATTTTATATCCGTAAGGGTATAATTCATTTTGTTTTTATGAACTTTGCTCTCAGCAAAATTAAGAGCGTTAATAGCAATTTTTTGGTTTCAAAAGTCAATAAAAAATGCCACTTGGCATTTTTTCATAGGTTGTTGAAGAGTAAAAGTAATGCCCTTACGGGTAGGATAGAATTTTATATTGTGATCATTAACACGTTTGTGGATGCTTTTGTAGGAAATGATAGCGATGTTTTAGGTAGAAATTTGAATCCATCTGCTCTTAATAATGAAAGCCACGTGTTCAAAGAGCTCCGGGATGCAATATATTTTTCGCGAAACCCAGCGGTTGTTAGTTGGGTTGGGGAAGGTGGAGGAGTTTGGAATAGTGGTCGAGAGAATGTTACAAATACATTCGTCTTTGGATTTTGGTAATATGCATGTTTTTTGGTCATTGTAACGACAAATATACTTATTTTTCTCAGTTGGTATCTACCTCACCTTTGATCATAAGCAAACTTGGTACTCTGAACTACAATAAACGAGGAGTAATAAATGTTATAGGTGGACAAAACATAGGACGTCAAAGTTTTGAAATTAGGATTACTCAAATCAAGAAATAGTTACATGTGTGGTACCAAAATCGATTTGTCTTCCTTGGAACCAAATCTATTGTCTAGTATATGTACTCGTGATTGCAGATTTGTTTTGATATTTTTTTATTTTACTTTTTCTTTTTGTGGTAATTATGTGTAGGTACTTGGATCAGCTAGGGCAAGTACCGATTTACGGCACAAGGACATACTGCAGGCAGTCATTAATTGGTGGTTACTATGGTTTACTCAACACTACCACATTTGTTCCGAATCCAGATTACTACAGGTAAGGACGGAGCTACATGGGGCCAGGGGGGGCCCTGGACCCCCCTCAATTTTTTTTTAAAAATCAATATATATATATATATTATATTTATATATGTATTATATATTATTAATATCTATATTTATATATATAAAGAAAAAATTATACAATATGTATAGATATGTAAAAAATATGTACAGCATATTAATAATTAAAATTATATTTTCTATGCTAATTTAATTTAATTTAATAGTATTATTTATTTATTAAAAAATGTACTAACAATCCTTATATTTTATATTTCTAGATATATTTTTGAAAATGTTTATAATGTTTTACTTTTTTGGTCTCTTAATTGTAAATAGATTTAGTAAATTATAAAAACGAGTATTTAATTTGATAGTTATATTTTTTAATGTTGATTTTTTGTTTTGTTTTGTGTAATTACGTATTTAACTTCATTGTATTTCTTAAGAAAATGTTCGTTTGATAAGCTTTCGTCAACAAAAATGTTATGCAATATGCTACAAAAGTTCAATTTATATCAGTTTTTTAACCAAAACACTTTTTTTTTTCATAAATTATAATTGTTGAACTTAAATTATAAATACATGAAATTTCATTTTTTCTTTTTTAAGTTTGAGGGTGATATAGATTCTAAGTTTTTAAAAACTTGATGATTCACATTTCGATATTTATATTTATAATAAATATATTTATATATGAAATGAGTGTTTTGATTTAATTTACAAGTTCATTATTTAACATTTAAAATCGGACCCCCCTGAAAGAAATTCCTAGATCCGTCACTTACAGGTCAACTCAATTTTGACATATTTCACGTCATTTTTAATTTTTTTTTTTTTCCAATCTATAATATTTGCTACTAAATTTGTTAACGTTTTGAGGTCGCTTTCTTGTTTCTCCTGGTTTATAATTGTAATATCCCATTTAGTAATTAATAAAAGTAATTATTTTAGTTCTAAGTTTGAACTAATTACTTTTATTAATAATGCTCGTTCCTAGTTTCGAGCTCAGTTATTAAGTTATTCAGTTAAAAGTTCAAGTTGAAAGTATTCTCGGTTAAATTGTATTTAATCGAGCTAGTTCAGTAATTAATTAATTCTGGTCTGTTTATTTTTATAAATGGATTTATAAGATGGGATTAATTATAATAAGATGACAAATAATAAAAATCGAGTATATTTTGATTACTCGTTCAAGATAAGTCGTGAACGGAACCAAGCATGAGTTAAGATTATTACCGAACAAATGATTCTCGAGCCTAGCTTAGTTTTGAGTATTGATCAAGTTATAAGGATTAATTACACATTAATGGTTATTAAAGTGAAATAAGTTATTCAAGTTCAAGTAACATTCCATTTTATTTAGCTAAATGAATGTAAATTTGGCCATTTCTAGTTTGAATGAGAAAGAAAAAGAATAATGAGTCGAGACAAGTTAGGTCTCGAGTTCGGTTAAGCATCCATTAACATTTAAGTTATAAATGTTCAAAGAAGTGAGAAATTTATTTAGACATTTTAGTCTATTTAAATTATTAGAGAGAAATATGAAATTTTTAGAATTTTCGTTTTTTTCGGTTTTTGATTGTAGTCGGAATTTATGTCTGATTTCAGTTCTGAGAAATAAATTAAATTATTTTCTCTCTATTTTTTAGTAGACTACAAGACAAGAAAAATTTTTTTAGCATAAAAAGGAAAAATGCCAAAAGAAAAGATGGAATTCGAAAATAGTAAGAATTTTCGATTTTACGGTAACTGTTCATTTTAAGTCAGAATTTGGTTCCGTAAATTGGAGAATTTTCACTAAATCTCGAATTTAATCATTGAGATCAGATTAGGATCATAAGACGGGCCTTTCTAAGCATTGACTATGGGTTGGAGAAGTTTACAAGTTAAGAATACTATTTATTAGCTATATTTATTTTTACAAGTTTGTATTGTTTACTTTGTTAATTTCTTCACTCAATTATGATGTCTTGCAAATTGTGCCTATAAATAGAGGCCTAAAATTCAGAGTTTTTCACACCAAAATAAAGTTCCAAAGTTAAATAAGAGTCAAAGAGAGAATGAGTGGGAGAAACTTTGGAGAAGTAAAGAAGATGAAGTAAAGAATGAAGTTTTTTTTTTTTACAAGAAGATGAGGTAACTCACTTATCTTAAAGTAAATGTTTAAGTTTATGTTTTGATGTTAAGTTTACATGTTTATAAGTATGTATAAACATGATAAAGAAGTTAAGTTTATAATTGATCCTATGAATATAAAGATTTAAATATATTCAAGATCAATTATATGATGCACATGCTTGAATTTGATAAGATGATGATAAATATATGAATAAACTGGAATTATATGATTTAAATGAATGATTCTTATGTAAAAGAGGAGTACATGAGAACAAGAATTAAGAGATTTAGTAAAGTATAACTTGAGTTATGAATATATGAAGATGAACATGCAAGATAAAGATTATGTTCACTATTAAAGTTAAAGTTTTCATAACTTGATGAATATGCATGATAAGATTATGAAATTTTGAGCATATGTTTAGTGATAAGATGAGATTATGACTGTTAAGTTTCAAAAGTTAAAGATGAGAAATGAATAAGTTATGAAGATAAGAAAGCATATACGAAAAGATAAGTATATATATGTGCAAGAATAGTCATAATAAAGTTAATTTGTTAAAATGAGATGTTCATGAGTAATTTTCATATGAATGATGAGTAATTTTCATATGAATAATGAGTAATTTTCATATGAATGGTGAGTCATATGATGGAGTTTTGATATCATATATGGAGTATACAATTTAGTAAAGATTATTTTAAGTATGCTATATTATATCATGAGAAAAGTTAATGAGCAAATGTGATAAGTAGAGATGATTATTAATGAGATTATTATGAACAATTCTCATAAGTGATGAACAATTTGATAAAGTTTTAGTTAATATGTTGAGTATACAATTTTATATAAATTGTTTTAAATCTCACATATTAAGAACATGATGAGAAAGTTAAGAATGATATGATTATTTTCACTTTCAAGATAATTAAGTGAAAAATAAGTCAATATCTAAAGTTTGAGAAGTATGATGTATGATTAATGAAGTACTTGATTGAGTAAAAGATTAAATTAAGATGAGTTTATAAACCATGATGATGATGATGATGGTAAAAAGTAAGTTTAAGTACTTAATCAAGTATAATGTGAAATATAGTATTTTTCACATTTGAGTTATAGCATGTTATGAAACATATTGATGTTTAAGAAGATATGTTTTATAAGGTTAAGTAATTAACCTTGAGAAAAAAGTAAAAAGTGAAGTTAAGTATAATCTTAACTTGAGAATAAGAAAGTTTAAATGAATTATTAGAAGAATGGGATAAGTTAATAATCCTAAGAAATTATTGAGTATACGAGCATAGTACTTAGTATATTTGTCTATATTTGAATTGACTTGCAGATACAGTACCAGTACAGCACTTATCGTGTTACAAAAGATTTCAAAGATGAAAAGGTGGGGACCCTGAATGGGTAGCACATTGAGTACGATATGTGATTGGGATAAGGAGACCATCAGTTGTCTCAAAAGTTATATCCCGAAGTTAAGGTTTATTACGCTTGGGATGAGGAGACATTAATTTGTCTCATAAGATTATATCCTAAGTTCTGGTGGAGGCGAAACGGGCCTTAGAAATATCCATCAGAGTGTGCACACGTATCCGATTAACCATCGGCCAGAGAAATGAAAGTTTAAGTTTAAGTTACCGATCAAATATCGGTTTATGATTATCCATATTCGTTACTCACCCCCATGAGTTTTAGTTTCAGGTAACAGGTTAACGAGGAGGTGTGAGTGGAGCTGTGTTGTTGTGGATCGTGGAAGCAAACGAAGACAAGCTTAATGTGGACATTTAAAACAGTCTGTATAATTAACCATGTTTTTTTAAGTATTCCGCTATGCACATTAATGATTGAACTTGCATTTTATAAGTTTTACCATGTTGAGAAATATAATTATGGTATTTTGAGAAATATAATTATGGTAAATTGAGAAATATAAATATGGTAATTGAGAAATAGAATTATAGTATTTTAAATGCAAGTTTAAAGATAAATCTGTGAGACAAAAGTTTAAAGATAAACAGATTCTTATAAAGACAAGTTAAGTAGCATTCCGAGTTCTTCATAAGTATTTCGAAAAAGTTAAAGTATTTCGAAGTAAAAGTTGAGAAAAAGTTACTCTGATAAGCGGGGTGTTACAATAATACACCCGAACTTATGTTGTTTTTCACATAACCGCTCTTATTTCTTTATGTTGCAGTGCCCTTCTTTGGCACAAGTTAATGGGACAAGGTGTTTTGTGGGCCGAATATAGCGGGACTAAAATGATCCGTTCTTATGCTCATTGCGCTAAGAAATCTGTAAGATGTCCCAAATCATTTGTTTTTTTTAAGTCTTACATAGTTACAAAACCAAAAATTGTTATATTGATGGCATCACTAAATAGAGCATATCCAATAATGCATTTAGAAATATATGTAATGGGAAAAGTAACATGAAAATAAATTTGCTACGGTTTGTGGATTGTGGAATACCACATCTAGAGGTCGGGGAAGTGTGTGGAAATATTCATTCGGTAATGTTTTTGGCTATGTGATTCCAAAATTGGACAACTAACATGGGATTTTCTTGAGATAGGCACTTAGTCATTTCAACATTTGAAAATATGAATACTGCAAGGTAGAAATCGAATGAAACTATTGATAGAATTAATGAAGCTTTACTGATAGGATTGGTAGTTGAACTCTAGCTGNTGGCATAAATGCAAAAAAATTACAAGGGGGTTCAAACTTGGTCCTCTGCTATTCTAAAGAGGTTTTGAGCCACTTGAACTAACAGATATAGTACTAAAAATTCAACTTCACTTATATATC